ATTGGCCTATGCTTGGCCATTTCTTGTTCGACCTCCCACTCGGTCTCTTCAACTTTGACATGTTGGTTGTATTCTCTGGACAACACATGCACCACATTTACCATGATGTCTAATGTAGCATCAGACCCAGAATCAGATTCTTCCTCCGATTCATCTTGTTCAGGCTATACCATCCTTATAGCAATTGGCTTTTTCTCCAAAGTCATTCTTGGTTTAGCCTTTTCTTTTATTTGTGGCAAGTTAGTGCTTGTTTCTAGTTGGGGCTTTCCTGCAGCTTCTCTTTCGGCCTTTCGCCGTCTCTGATACCTTCTCCATTGGGAGCGGGTCATAGGGTTCTTTTCTTTGTAATTGTTCGACACATGAGCAACTCTGTTTGTTGTTATTGACTGGAATTCCTTTCTGTAGGCCAAAGAGGATCCTCTTGGCATATCGAACATATGCCATTTTCCCTCGTTGGGCCTTTTTCTATTCACTATCTTCAACCAAGTGTCCACAGGGGCATTTGTTGGAGGCTTGAAGGTTGATGCCCTACTCACCTGGTTTACTGGCCCCTTTTGGTATCCCCTTATAGGGTCGTACCTTACTTCAGGATCTATGTTAGGCTGGGCAATGTTGCCCCATTTTTTCTTTGCTACACGCACACCTTGCATGTGCTCAGCATCTTTTTTATCGAAGATAGAACTGCATCTTGGACACAACATAACTTCTGACTTCTTTTTCTGGAATCTGTGTAGAAAATCTTCCAGATTTTTGTTTTCCTTAGGAAATGCAAGCTTACTGATTTCCTCTTGCCTGATGATGTCTTATGAATCTGTAGCTTTAGGTTCAGACACTTCAACCATATTTATTTCCACATTGCTCTTATCAGCTACACTTAACTTTTGCATCTTAGCCTCTAGGATTTTTGTCGAACCTGTGACAACAGCCAAGTAGGAACCTTCAGTAGTTCCTTTATTTTAGCCTTTAATGGCTTCCTTGTTTAGGCTTTCAGTAGCCTTTCTTTGTACCTCTTTGATAGCTTTTCTACTAATGTCCTCAGTGAGACTGCCAAAAACAGGTTTGTTGATGAAGTCTTCTGAGACTTCGACCATATTGATGCATGAAGGTTCAACATAATGGGCATCTTCCTGCAACGGGTTTGCATCCATCTTCATGGGAGGTTTGTCAATAAACTTGAGTCTGTCGTTTTTTATTGCGCCTTGAATGAGATCCCTGAAAAGAAAACATTGTGAGGTTTTATGGCCCAAAAATTATGATATTTACAAAAATCTCTCTTTTTCCTTTGATCTAAAGTTGGCATTTTTTCCCCTGGGGGCACTATCACCTGGCTATCTTTAACTAACAAGTCAAATATTTCGTCACATTTTGTGACATCGAAACTATATGTTTTTTTTGGAACCTATCACTACTCTTTTCAGATTCAGTAGGATTCTTCCCATTTGAGGGTATTAACAGTTTGCAAGAGTATGATGACCCTTGCTTTAATTATGCTAGATCGACCTCACTCTCTTCGATAGTTATAGGGCCACTAGGTGCCTCTGGATCATCATCATCCACTTCGACATATGCTACCCTTTCTCTTCGATGATTTTTATTCGCCTTAAGGCGTTCTACCTGTCGAACTCTATCGGCTAATTAGGCCATGTCTCTCAGGTATTAGGTATCTAATTTCTTCCCAATGGAATAATCTAGACCCCATGCAACCATTTCGACCAACTCATGTTCAGGCACTTGTGTAAAGCATATGGCTTTGAGCAGTCAAAATCTGTTCAGATACTCATCAATTGGCTCAGTGAATCTCCTCTTCACACTAGCCAGTTCTTTCAGACTTATTTTGGACTGTCCCATACAGAATTATTCATGGAACAATCTTTCCAACTGATTCCAATTGTAAATCTAATTGGCAGGAAGTATGGTAAACCAAGTGAAGGAATTTTTGGTTAAGGAGCTTTGGAAATACTTAATCCTAAGATTCTCATTATTTGAGATTTCCCCAACCTCTATCAAATACCTTGCCACATGTTCGATAATGGACTCTGTCTTATCCCCTGAAAACTTGGTGAACTTTGGAACTTTCCACCTAGGGGTAAATCTGATTGCAAGATATAATCTGACAATGAAGATGTAAAGTTTGGCCTATGAAAGCCAATGTTCACTCCATTCCGTGCCATGATTATTTCGACCATGGCTGTTAAGTTATTATCTGCTGCATAGTTGTGGTGTCAAACCTGCTGTATTACCTCATCAGCATTTTGGGTTCTACTTACCACAACTACACCTTGTTCGACAGCTCTTGGGATTTGTGGGGCAACTCTGGGTACTTCGACCCTAGGTTGTTCGACCTCCACTCTTTGGTTCATCCCATCTGGCTGTGGATTCTGGTTAATGGTCATGCCATCCTCTAAGACCACACCCTGATTTCCTCTTACCAGCTCTCTTTGGGGGTCAGATAGGTTGAGGAACCCCGAAAAATTCGGCCATGTGCGTCATTTGTGCTGCCGTTTACTGGTTCGACTGAGTGGTATTTTGTATCAGAGGGTTAAGTACTGTACTCAAGGTTTATGCCAACATCTGCACCATGTCATGGTTACTCTCATCCATTTGTTGCCTCAAAATTGCTGCAGAAGCATTTGTGAGACTTGGCATTATATGGGATGTCCCTCCTAAGAGTTGGTTTATACCTAGATTTGCCATACCAGTTCCAGATCCATGCAATGACGAAGATGTACTCACCAAAAGTTCTGAAAATGTGGATGAGGCATTCATAAGGCATGCCATTTTAGCATTTGGCATGCCATAGGGTTGGTCTCGATCCATCCAGGCTGTCGAAAATCCTGGAGGGACATAAGGTCGAACTCCCGAATTTCCTCTTGGTGGGGGTGTTCCTGGTGGACCCCTAGGACCTACATGAGGAAGTATTGGTCCTATTTGTGTAACTGCCAATGCTGGTGTCGAACCAACCGTTGATGGCATAGATTCACTAACTGTTTGTATAACCGCTATTCCCGCGGGAATTGGTGGAGACATTTCTCCACAACTTGGCTAATTAGGATTAGCCATTCTCGTATTTCTTCTCCTAGGTATGTACTCTTTGGTGGTTGATTTACCACTTCTCAATAACATACAACACTTTTGAGAGAAAGGAAATTACGTAAAGCACTTATGATAAAAACTGTTTTTATCAAAGTTTGTAAAAATAACAAAAACTTAGCAACGTCCCACTGAGCATGCCAATTTGTTTACCGTGAAAATTGATAAACAACCGTTGATCTTCCAAAAGAGGTTATTTTGGTTACTTGCAGGATCGATCAGTTTGATCCTAGGACATATGCTAAGTGTTTTTGGGGTTTCATAAGAAGTCTTAATGTTGTTAATGAACAAGTTCGACTAGACACTAAAAGTAAAGGCTTGGATAGATTTAAATGTACAAGATGAAGGTAAAAACTTGGTAAAAACGCAAGTAAAGTACAGGATAAAGTAAATTTACAGTAATTTAAAAGGCTGTAGTGGTAAAGTTTGCAGAAAAATGTTAAATGGCAAGAATTGTAAAGAAATGTAAAGACTTTGATTGCAATAAAGTATGGTGATTCAAACGTACATTCTCAATATTCTTTTTCTCACAGCGGGTACTTGAATAAAATTGAGTGACTTGTACAATGAGTTGAACACAGGAAATTCTACACAAAATTCCTATATTTATACTAATAATAAGTAACTGTCGAATAGTTGCTTTGTTCTAGGATGAGGACAAGTGTCCTCTGCATGCTCTTCGACCCCTGTCTTCACGCCACGTCGTTTTTCCCAACTGCCAAATAAATTACCTTTCTCTCATCCCTTTAGATTCAAATCCACTTGCTGCTGATACAAGAGCTTTTCGGTCGAAACTGTCTTTAACTTTAAAATTTTTCTAAGTGTTTTTTCCATTTTTAGCAAGGATGACTTCGACACAACTCCTTTCACAGGCTTTTCTATCGAAATGTCTTCAACTTAGATTTCTTCAATATATTTTTAACTAAGACAAATATATATGAGTGTCGAATTTAGGAACTATCAAAAAGTACACACCGTAAAGACTCTATATAACAACCTTACATCCATAACAAATCCCTCATTTACATTGAGTCTCATATTTCATTGTAGTCTCATATTTCATTGTAGATGGTTTTGAAATATTTACAACGTGGCTCCTGACCTCTTTTGTCCTATAAGAAACACAAACTAAACTATCATATACACTTTTCATACATCCATTATCCAACCACCTTTAAAGACTCTTTAAAAACTATGAATAGATTTTGATCACTATCAATGACTTTATATGTTACAATTTTTCGTTCTTCACTACATAAATGTAGTGTCTTAAAATGAAAAAATATTATACAAAATGTTATGACATTAAATCATATCTATTTTAAACATGTTTGATGAAATGTTATCACTTTATATGATGTGTGTTTTTAACATGTTATCCTCATAAATTTTAAATAAAAATTATGATGTGTATTTTTAACAGGTTGAATGTTGATCCTCAAAAATTTTATTTAATAAAAATGTGTCAGAAAAAAGTTAAGTTAAGTCAATCTTGTCTACAATTTTAGATTGGGTTTGGTTTCAGTCAGATATTTTTCTGCAGTCACACTGTCAATCATTTTTAACTTAAGCAAAATATTTTTAAAATTAATTAATAAAATTAAAATCTATCTGTTCAATCCTTTTATCTTTCTCATAAACCAAGTTATCAATTTCTGTAGAAATGAAAATATCTAAACTTGTATAAAACATCTCATTCTCATTTTTGTCCTATAATAATAGTAAAAAAAAAAAACAATTCCCTCTTTTCTCCTACTCATACAAAATCACTATCAAAAAGAAAACCGCACAAGCCAAGTCCAACCTACTATTTAACTTCACCACTGAAAAAAAACGTTCTCAATCACAACCTCTTGTTGTTGTCCTCCTTCTTCTTCTGCAAATACTGAAGAAGAAAAAACATTGACAAAATGACAATAAAACCCCTCAATCTCTTAACAACAAAGCTTTCACCTCTAACAACAATGGTGTCAATCCTAATCCTCACCATCGTGGCTTTCTACTCGTTCCATTTCCCTCACTCTCTGAAACATCCAAACAAATCCACCACCTTCCAAAGCCTATTCCTCTCATCTTCTTCCAACTCCACCATCTCATCCTACCTCCGCACCCTCACCATGCACCCTCACCTCGCCGGAACCAAACCCAATTCCAACACCGCTCTTTTCGTTCTCAATCACTTCACTTCCTTAAACCTCGAATCCCATAAAACATCCTACAACGTTCTACTCTCTTATCCATTAAACTCTTCACTATCAATACACCTAACCAACGGTTCTTTCATCAACCTTCCTTTAACCGAACCATCCGAACCCGGTTCGGATATGGTTCACGCCTACCATGCCTATTCACCTTCCGGTTCGGTTTACGCTAAGGCGGTTTTCGTTAACTACGGAAGAGATACAGACTATCGTACGCTTGGGCTGGATGTTAAGGGGTGTATAGTGATAGTAAGAAAAGGCGGTGGATTAGGGAGGAATACGGTGGTTGAGAAGGCGGAGAAAAACGGTGCTGCGGCGGTTTTAATCTACAACGACGAAAATGACACGTGGCGTAATGGGTTTGAGAGAGGTAATGTTATGAAGGGTGTGGGGGACCCAGTGAGTCCTGGTTGGGGAAGTGTGGATGGGAGTGAGAGGTTGAGTTTGGAAGATAATGAGGTTATGGAAAGGTTTCCTAAAATTCCTTCCATGCCAATCTCTGCTAATGTTGCTGATGCTATTTTGTCTTCACTTGGGGGAAATTTGGTGCCTTTGGAGTGGAGGAATACCCTGAAATCTAAGGCTGTTATTAGCCATGTTGCTTCTGGTCCCACTATGCTCAATTTTACCTACTTGGTTAGTACTTTGTACCCACTTGTATACTTTTTTTTTGTTACAATGTCGTGTCGTTTGCTTTTATTCTTTTGATAAGTGAGCCTTGACTTTAACTACTCTGTGTTTCATGTGTTTGGTATGCGGGAAAAATAAATGATTTTGAGTTAATTGATTATGTAAAATTTATTCTGATTAAAAGAGATTAGTGTATGTTTGGTTCCACTTCTTCAAGACCTAGAATCAATTCTAGAGATGTAGAATTGATTCTGAGTGATTTTGAAGTGTTTGGTTTGTTAAAAGTAGGGTTGATTCTGTCTCTAGAATGAGTTCTACTTGAAGCTAGAATTTATAGTTTCTACCACCAGAATTGATTCTGAATGATTTTTACACTGAAATTTATTGTTCAACTCACTTTTACATAAATGTATCCGAACATAAATCAATTATACTCAACTTAATTTTGTTAAAATCATTCTACCAAATTCAATTATACTAGAATCAATTCTGTCCACCACCAATCCAAACATACACTAAGAGATTGAAATGTGAAGTGATTTTTGTAAAAGTGAGTTGAACGATAAATTATAGAGTAAAAATCATGTTTAGATTCAAAAGTTATAAATTTTAACTGCAAGTATAATTAATTTTAGAAAGCAATAATCAATTTTTCTCGAGAACAACCAAACAAGTCAAAATCAATTTTACAACATTATGAATCAATACAACTACAACTACAATCACTTCTGAGATAGTTTGAAAACTTATGATATGTGTATAAGCTATTTTTAATTTATTTTCATAAGTTCTTACATGATAGTTTTTTCATTTTTATGAAAGCATGTTATCATAGTTTATGAAATTATGTTATGAGTTTGATGTTATTTTATCTTTTATTTCTTGTAGAAATAACTTACAAATAAGCACCTCTATAAAAAGTGTTTAACTATAATTTGTTTAATTAAGTTTTTTTTTGTTTGTTAAAATAGGGTTTTATTAAGTTTCTTTTTAAATTCTATGTATAGGTAAATCTGATGCTGTATTCAGATTAATTGAAGGAAAAGAATGAAATGGGGGTGGAATGGAATTAGGTTTTATTGTTTGGATTGTACAAAATTGGTGGATAAAATGGTTTGGGACATGAAATATTTCACTATGGAATGGTTTAATATTCAATTATAGAAAATATCCAAATAATGAAATGGAAATTATATTTCACTCTAATCTTTCCAATTTCATTCTATTTTCAAATGTCTTCCTGTTTTTGATACTCTGGTTGAGCTAAAATACTTTTCAAATTATAAGCATCTAGTAAGAAAGTAGGTGAAGGTTCTTGTTGTTAAAGGGTTTTGCATGTATTTCTGAACATGTTTTCTGTTTTTCAGGGTGAAAAGAAGATGGCCACCATCCAAAATGTTTTTGCTGTCATAAAAGGATCAGAAGAACCTGATCGCCATGTTCTTCTTGGGAACCATAGAGATGCATGGACTTATGGAGCTGTTGATCCCAGCAGTGGAACAGCTGCCCTACTTGACCTTGCTCGACGATACTCTATTCTACTGAGTTCAGGTTGGAAGCCAAGGAGGACAATCGTTCTATGCAGTTGGGATGCCGAGGAATTTGGCATGGTAGGCAATACTTCCTTCTTAACAATGCACTTCTCTAAGTGTGTCTTTAATATGGTAGTTGCATGTGTAACTTACATAGTCTTCAAGAATCAAATCAATGGATTTGTTTTTTTCCACATAACTCGTGCGTTTCCGCATCACATATTTAATGCCAAATTTGAGCTTCCCTTGCCTTGTGGCACCTAGGTTTAATTGCAAGTGGTAGAAGGGAAAGTGACACGTTGCCAATGTCGTCCATGGCGGAGAGCCAAAATCCCGCCGGTTACTTTGTAGTGCCGTTATAGCGGATTATGACGGAAAAACCCACAATATCAGCCGATATTTACCATTATGGCCAGCCCAAAAACCCCATGTATATCCGCCAAAGTGCCGCAATTGCGGATATTTGATAACACTGCACGTAACCTGGTGCGTTAGATAGCTTTTTTCCGATGAATTTCTAGAACAGCAAACAACTTTTGTAACTTGCTCAAATCTTTTGTATAGGCTGTAACATTAGAATACAACAAACATTTAATTTAATATGGAGACACTACCACTCGTGAGATGGCGCTTCCTTAGAATACGACAAACATTTACATTTAATGTCATGAGGACGCAACTCGCATCGCAACAACACTAACTTGGAAACATTAGAATATGACAAACATTTAATGTGGCAGCACTACAATTCACTTCTCAATTTCAATATACCATGTCTGCAATGATTTTTACCCGTTATAAGCTAAAAACTCTTCAGTTTCCTTAAGTGCATCGTAGTGTTATGCGGTACCATGGCTGCTATACCGGATATACATGGCGGTTTTTGGGCTTGCCGTAATGGTAAATATCGACCGATATTGCGGGTTTTCCTGCCATAATCTGCTATAACGGCTCTGCAAAACGGCTGGTATAGTGGGATTTTGGCTCTCCGCCAAGGACCACCATCCGCCATCGACAACACTACTGCATCGTCAATTTCCTTCTTCAATTGTCCAATATATTAAATTGAGTGAGTTCGCTTTATTTCCATTACGGTGTCATTTCCTGAAATATTCTCTGTAAATCAAGCTTATCTGTTTATGTAGATAGGATCCACTGAATGGGTTGAACAAAACCTTATCAATCTTGCTTCCAAAGCTGTAGCATACCTTAATGTGGATTGTGCTGTTCAAGGCCCTGGTTTTTTTGTTGGCTCAACTCCTCAGCTAGACAGTCTTATTCGCGAGGTCACAAAAAAGGTATTTGAAATAACAATAATTTGTTGATGCAAATTCAAACATGCATACAAATAACTATTTACGCACAAACACATACACTTTGCTTGCTTTTGATATTTTAGTAATTCTAAAATTTTAATCTGCATTAACTTTAATTTCAGGTCAAGGATCCCGACTCTAAGGGTGTCTCAGTATACGAGACATGGGCTGCTTCCGATGCAGGAAATAATGTAATGCTTTTGTTACTGCTTTCCAAGAATTTGTTTGTACTTACTTATTATGCCTTTACCGTCAATTCAGTAGTGTTGTTCTGACAGTGTGTTTGTATATATGATATCTGACACATATACGACAAAGACACTACTACAATGCTATTAAAAAAGCGGGTTCAATTTTGTTATCATATTCTCATTACTTAGCTGCTTTTGTTTTGTTGGACTGCAGATTCAAAGGCTTGGTAGAGTTGATTCTGATTTTGCTCCGTTTGTGCAACATGCAGGGGTTCCATCTGTTGATGTGTATTATGGAAAAGGTACATACCTCGGTCAATATCAGACACGTATATGCAACAATACATGTAGAATGATTGGAAAAAACCAAAGCCTGTGGTTCACATCACCTATAAGAGGCATTTACTGTTTTTATTCAATTCCTATCAATTGGTATATATTTTCGGGCATTTTAGGGTCTAGTCCAGGACTTAAAAGGAACTCTCTAGTATATGGTGAGGTTGATATGGTTATACAATAATATCTTTCCCTTTTTCCCCAGATTTTCCGGTCTATCACACTGCTTTCGACTCCTATAACTGGATGGCAGAATATGGAGATCCATTCTTCCAGCGCCATGTTGCCGGTCAGATTCTAGCATAACATCTTATTGTGCTTGTAAAATGGCTTTCGTTTGATAAAATGTTAATCCATGCAGCAATCGTAAGATTTATCTTTTGTGTTCCTTGTTGTATTAGTTACTGGAATTTGGGGCCTTCTAGCTCTGCGCCTGGCCGATGATTCCATTCTTCCATTCGATTATTTATCATATGCAAATGAGTTACAGGTGGGTATTTATATTCACCTCTTATTTTAATTAACTTCTTTCTAATTACTGTCTCCCTATGTTAAGGAATTTAATTTGAGAGTTAAATGTAGTTTACAAATTTAACTTGGTTGCTACCAGTAAATGCAGAGACAGTAAGAACTGAGAAGCAAATTAAAGAATGTTTCTTGCAACAGCAGAATTATATTATGTTACTTATAAAATCTTCCCGTCTTTGGCAGTTGTACAGGGACAAATTGAGCAACGTGTTAGATCAGAAAATTTCTCTACTCCCGTTAACAACGTCAATCAATGAATTTGCTTCTGCTGCAAAAGAAGTTGACGGCGAATTAAAGGTAAAGTAAAGTAAAACAAAAAAAAAAACTTAGCATCGAAAAGGAATATCTATTTTCCAAGATAGTTATGCTTGTCTTCATTTTGAACTGCAGGAACTTAGATTGGCAGAAACTTCAGGTCAGTTGGTAGATATGAAAAGGCGAGCGTTTAATGATAGATTAATGCTGGTAGAAAAAGGCTTCCTAGATGGAGATGGACTTAAAGGAAAACAGTGGTTCAAGCATCTTGTGAGTGTGTTTATTTGTATCATGAATACACCGATTAAACCTCTTTAACTGATTTAAAGTTACTATCTTCAAAGTTACAAGCAGTCCGCAAAATGAGAACTATATATTGTGCGAGAGTATAGCTCATTTTTTGTGGCAACTTCCAAACTTCTATGAAATTCTTAATATGCTACTTTTCTGTTGGAGGAACACACTGTTTCACATTGTTATGTTTGCCTTTGTTCATCATATACTAGTTACTAATCACTTCGGTTTATGTTTCTGCGTTACAGGTGTTTGGGCCTCCAAACGACGCCGAAAAGTTAGATTTTTTCCCTGGGATTGTTGATTCTACGACTAGGTCAAGCAGCATAAGTGAAAAAGAAAGACTAACAGAAATTCAACACGAGATCTGGAGGGTTACCAGAGCCATACAAAGAGCTACTTCAGCACTGAGAGGAGAATTCGCATAAATAAACACTAATATGAAAACTGGTCTAGAATTAGATGAAAGAGTCTATATATTTGAGTTTTTACATGTAAATATTAGTTTTTATTTATCCCTACAAAGAGTATAGTGGTCAGAATCTTAATCTGTATAACTGTACATTAAGTTAACCAAAGGGAAATCATTTTTTCCACAGATTTTGCCCTCTTGAATTTGTAATTGTTAATTTCAATATTCTTATGATAAACATAATCTTACAATTTTTTAAATGAAAAATAAATTCAGAATTCATATTATTGAATCAAAAGCTTAGAATTATGAACCTTAAAAAAAAATCAGGTTCACAATAATAGCAGTACTATTCTAGAAACATAACAGATATGGTTCCTAATGACAAGAACATGGTAAAAACACCAAACCCAACCCTAATCCCTATGATACCCATGTTGTTGAGGGCCATACATGGGATCATAATTATTAATAACAACCACAAACTATACTTAACATCAAAAGCTTAGAATTATGAACCTTAAAAAACCAGGTTCACAATAATAGCAGTACTATTCTAGAAACATCACAAATTAATGACATGAACATGGTACTACAAACACCAACAACAAAAACCCTAGTAATAATAAGGTAATCGAGGATGATAGCCATATCGCTGAGGGCCATACATGGGATCATAGTTATTGTACTGATGCTGATAATACGGCATTGGAGTAGGATAAGGAGGAGGAGGGTAGAATCCTCTTCGATATGGTGGATAACCTGCACCATACATAGGCATATGCATAGGTGGATATTGTTTCACACTCTTCATCCAGTGAAGCTTCACTGTATTTCCATTCTTGGTTATCATCTTCATAATTTTAGGTGAATCCATCCTGCCAGAAATATATATCACCCCTTCTTTTGTATTGAAGTTGTAGCTTAGATCTATCATCAACAAAAAAAATTATTCTTAAATGAAATAGAAAAAAGAATACACATAAATTATAATAACACATACCTTTGATTTCGTCGAGTATTTTGCTTATAATCTCAGACCATCCTTCACAGTTTGTGTCCACTTTCAAAGCACAAGTCTTGCATGAAAAAAAGAGAGAATAGTTAATTGTATATGAATATCAACCAAAGAAAAAGAAAGAGTGAATCTAGTAGAGTAGTATAGGCTCTAACCGTGGTAGAAAACATCGTGACGTTGTAATTTTCTAAGAAAACAACGAGTTGAAAGATGTAAATGAGAATAGAAATGGACGGAGAATGAGGTTTATAAGGTTTTTGTTTTCACCATTGAATTAATTAAAATAGAATCATAGCAAATCAAAAAATTATGATAGACATTAAACCCTATGCTACTTATAGAAGATTTTGATTTTGCGAACTATTTGTTCATCAAATATGATTTCACTGATTTTGTAAAAATAATAGTTAATATAAATACATCTCGATAATATTATTAAATAACATATAAATGATTTATATATGATTAAACTTTCAAAATATAAATATAGTAAAGTTTGAAACATTTTTTCGACTTAAAGATATATAATTTGATATCTTTCTTCATGTGTAACTCAAAATAGTTTCTAATTTATCTTTGGCTTCAAGGTTCAATATGTTTGTTCTTTAGCAATAATTGATTATGTTTTTATTAATATTGTACAAATATTTAAAGGCTAGTGTTTAATTTTAATTATTGAGCATTATTGCCTTCTCTCTAAAACGTAACCTCTCACATTTTTTGTTCTTCTTACGTCTTACATACATGCGACACGTGGAAAAAGAAATGGAGTTATTGTCTCTAAGAGCTACGTATGTTTAAATAAACAATTTATTTGTAATTTATAGTATACCAAAATAAATATTTTATAAATAAATTTTAATTAATTATTTTTATAAAAAATAAAAGGCTTAAATGCAGTTTTGACCCCCCTAGTTTAAGGTTTTTGGAGTTTCGATCCCCCTAGTTTAAAAGTCAGGTTTCTAGTCTCCATAGTTTTCAAATTTGGGATTTTTGAAGCCCCCTCCATCTGGCTGCCCAAAAAGTTTTCAAATTTGGGATTTTTGAAGCCCCCTCCATGTGACATGGCACAGGGAGAGTAATGCCACGTATTATTTTCTTATTTCTTATTTAGAATAATATTTTTTAAACATTTAAATAAGTGATATTAATTTCCAAATGAATTTTTAATTTCATAATTCATATTTTCTGAAAATCCCAAATTGCTTAACCTAATTTCCTCTTCCATCCGCCCGTACGAGATTTCAAAAATCCCAAATTTGCAAACTTTTTGGGCAGTCAGATGGAGGGGCTTCAAAAATCCCAAATTTGAAAACTATGGGGACTAGAAACCTGGCTTTTAAACTAGGGGATCGAAACTCCAAAAACCTTAAACTAGGGGGGTCAAAACTGCATTTAAGCCAAAATAAAATAAATTAAAATGAATTATATAAAAGTAGTAGCGAAAAATATATATACACTATAATTATATGATTGGCCTTGTCATACAAGTCATAAATATGTTTTTCTTCAACTAAAAAGGACGATCTAAAAAGTTTAAAAAAAGATAAAAATAAATAGCGCTATTAATATATATGATCTGGATTGGGCTTACACTTGTTCCACTGTTAGGACACTACAAGAAAAAAAATCATTTAACTAGGGGTTTAACTCCTCACTAAGTCAAAAAATACCTCATAAAATCAACATTTGTGAGGGGCTATGTCCCTTAGCTAAATCACTGATCGCAGACAAGGGGTGGGGGGCTAAGCACCTAGACAATTAGCTTGGGGCTAAACCCCTCGCTAAAGGCAAAATTTGATTGGCCATTGGCTAGGGGCTTTACCCCTAACTAAATATCATACTGCTTTTGGCGCAGGTGCTCAGTAAACGCGGGGAGTGTGCAGGAAGGAAGCGTGCAAAAAGATGCATAGTACGTGTGACATTAGCTAGGGGGTTTACCCCAAGCTAAAAACCATAATTTATTTTTTAAATTATAAACGTAATTATTTAATTTATTTATTATTATTATATTTATAATCAATGAATTTCATAATTATAATTTAATAAAATAAAAAATTCAATATTAATAATATTAGTAATATATTTTTAAATATAATACATAATATAATTTATAATTAATATTATATTAATAAAATACGGAATTAAAATTAAAATATTACAAGAACATTGTTTATAATTATAAATAAAAAGTGTTATTGATAAAGATTAATTTTCTTCATCGGTGTTACTGTCTTCATTGTCATTTTGCCCTTGATTATCACGCCCACCAAATTGTTGCATAAACTGTTGAAAAATACGTATCGATTTCTCATATTCTCTAGTTTTTATTCTCATTTCTTCCTCCATTTCTCTTTGTCTCTTCTTCAATTCTTTTATTTCAGCATTTATCGCTTCCACTTCACGGACAACCTCAGAGTGCGCTAATGATCTCACAGTTTCCATCAAGTCTAGTGTAAGTGAAGGTTGAGTCGATGATCCTTCACCATAAGCAATTTGCATTCTGAAACTCCTATCACGCCGTCAGATTGTTTTGACGAGACCTCCAGCACCATACACTCTCCCATTTTTTCTCTTCCCACGAGATACATCATACCAAGATTATTTTTTAAAATATTTAAGTTTTTTATATTCATTTTTTTAAATTGAAAGATAAAATTTGACATTCTATAACATAAACATATATTATTAAAAATCAAAGCATAGTCGAAATCGTAATTTTTCAAAAAATTATATCTTAAAAATGATTTTTATCGAAAACTATTTAAAACAATTTAAAAATTAAGTGATTTTTTAAAATTTTAATATCTAAAAAAAATTTAAATAAGATAATATAATATTTAAAATAATAGTTTAAAAATAACTATTTAAATCAAATTTTCATTTGAAGATTTTATGAAAAGTTTGTTTATAATTTTTTTGGTTTAAATGCACTTTTGATTTCTGTAGTTTTATGTTTTTTAAGTTTTAGTCCCTTCATTTTAAAAGCCAACTTTCAAATCCTTAAACTTTATGACACTCTTGGCATTGATAAATAAGATATAAAAAATTATTTTTAATGATGTGATATTAGTGACTAAGATAATTTATTATTTAGAGTTTTTTAGATCTAAATTGGAAAGTGGTGGTTATTCACTCGTATCGGGAGCGAATAAGCTAGCAGATGCTATAGCAAAGTATAGTTTTATTAGATGATATGTTGCATTTTTTTTAAAATTCTTGCTCAAAAGTTTATTCACATTTGCTAGAGGTACATGAGCGGGATTGTGTTACTTTTAGGGTTGTTGCTGTGTAATCTGTTTCTCAAGACCTCCTTTCTATCAACAAAAGAAAAAAATTATTATTTAATAATTTTTATTAATTAATTTCTCAATGTCAAAATTATTAAATAATAAATTATCCTATATATTTTGTTGATTAAATAGATACAACTCATTGATTAAATATCCTATATAAACTCTAACTGAAACACAAAGAAAAGTGATGTGTTACTGTATCCACCAACTTATCTTCAAGAAAAAGCATGGTGAGTGGAGTTTGAATAGCAGCACAAGTTAATCTTCTTTTACTATCGCCTCCATTGGCTGCAAACATGTTATACGACATCTCTTGAGCATCTAAATGTTAGAACAAAGGACAAAGGATTCAAGAAAGATGATTTTGTGAAAAACAAGAAGAAGAAGAAGAAGAAGAAGAAGAAGAAGAAGAAGAAGAGAAAAGGGAGAATGATGAGTTATTTAAGTGTAACTAATTATCTAACTGATTTGTATTATTGTTGCTTTTTGTTAACTACAAACATAATGACCCTTTATATAGGCAAAAGAGCTTAGACCCAAATACATGCTAAAAGCTCAAATAACTACATAACAAGAATTAACCAACTAATACACCCCCTAATTCATGTTATTAAGACTTATCATCTCAATGTCTTTCTTTAACTCTTCAAACCTTACTTTCTTCACAGGTTTGGTGAATATGTCAGCTAGTTGCATTTCTATCTTGCAATGTTTTATTTCAAGCTTCCCTTTGTTGACTTGATCCCTCAGAAAATGATACCTTCTTTCAATGTACTTACTTCGACCATGACACACTGGGTGATTCACAAGGTTTATAGCTGACTTGTTATCAACAAACAACTTCATCTTCGAATCCATTATCCTGAGTTCTTCAAGTAGCATTTCAATCCATGTTGCTTGGCATGCAACATATGATGCAACCACATATTCTGCTTTGCATGATGACAAAGCCACAATGCTTTGCTTCCTCGAACTCTAAGAGGTTCGAGCTCCTTCGATCATGAATATGTATCCTGTAATACTCTTCTTTTCGTCTTGATCTCCATTGAAGTCTGAGTCAGTGTATCCATGAACTTCGACATCTGAGTTGTTCTTCAATTTCTTCGGTAACAGCACACCATGATCAATAGTTCCCTTTATGTATCTCAATACCCTCTTCATTGCGATGAGATGACATTCTTGAGGCTTCTCCATAAATCTGCTCTACAATCCTACACTTTGGCAGATATCTAGTCTAGTATTGCAAAGATACCTCAAGGATCCAATGATTTGTTTGTAAATGGTCGAACTTACAAACTCATCATTCAATTCCTTTTTCAGCTTTGCTCCAGTCTCTAATGGAGTAACATTTGCCTTATAGTTGCTCATATTGAACCTCTTCAGTATATCTTGAGCATACTTCGTTTGATGCAAGAATACTCTTTCTTCAATGTCTTTGAATTCCATTCCTAGGAAATAAGAGAGATTCCCTAAATCAGACATTTCGAATTCCTACATTAACTTCGACTTTACCTTCATTATCTCAGCTTCGTCTGCTCCTGTAATGAGTAAGTCGTCAACATAGAGGCATAAGATGATTCGATTGACACTTTTGACATCATTTACATATACCCTATTCAGAGACATACTTTGTGAAACCTGCTTCGATTAGGAAGCTATCTATCCTTTTATTATAAGCTCTAGGAGCTTGCTTCAAGCCATAGAGAGTCTTCCTTAATCTGTAAACTTTCGAATCCTGTCCTTTGACGTCAAAACCTGGTGGTTGAGTAACGTAGACTTCTTCTTCCAATGGACCATTCAAAAATGCTGACTTCACATCAAGTTGGTGCATTTTCCATCCTCTACACGCAACAGGTGCATATACTTCATCGAAATCAATACCAGGTTTTTGTAGAAAACCTCTGGCCACCAGTCTTGCCTTATACTTTGCAATCTCACCATTTGGCATTTGTTTCACCTTGTAGATCCATTTCACATCAATTGGTTTCTTGTTGGTTCTTTCAACAAGCTCTCAAGTCTTATTCTTCTCAATGGCTCTAAGTTCTTCTTTCATGGATTCACACAAATTCGAATTGCTCAAGGCTCCGCCCAAATCAATTGGTTCTACTTCAGTCATCATCATGGTTTCTTCGATTAAGTCACCATTTACATTGATTTCTTGATCTGGAAATCTCTCATATCCAACCAGCCTAGTCGACTCAGTTCTTGTTCTTGTGGATCTTCTTTCATTTTGCACAGGTGATTCTTCATTTCGACTTGTCAAAGCTTTGTTCTGTTCATCTTCTTCGAGCATAGTTGTGACTGTGTCTGATTCTTGTCGAACTGAACTACGACTCCAATCCCACCCTTTGCTTTCGTCTACAAGAACAGCGTCTTGCCATCTTTCTTCCTCTGATCTTTGTGCGTAACTTTCTGAGCTTCTGTAGCATCTACTTCCAATTCTGATATTTTACCATTCAAAATTTCTACAACATCTTGAAATCTGAAAAGAACCTTCATTTGCCCCATCCATCGTTGATAGGTTTCACCTTTGAAAACTGGTAGATTCGCTGGAAACTGTGTTGATGTTGTTGATCCGTTTGCCATTAGATTCTCTCTGAATCGCAAACAAGCTCTTGATACCAATTTGTTAGAACAAAGGATTCAAGAAAGATGATTTTGTGAAAAACAAGAAGAAGAAGAAGAAGAATAATAATAAGAAGAAGAAGAAGATGAGAGAGAGAGAGAGAGAGAGAGAGAGAGAGAGAGAGAGAGAGAGAGAGAGAGAGAGAGAGAGAGAGAGAGAGAGAGAGAGAGAATGATGAGTTAGTTAAATGTAACTAACTATCTAACTGATTTGTATTATTGTTGCTGCTTGTTAACTACAAACATAATGACCTTTTATATAAGCAAAAGAGTCCAGACCCAAATACTTGTTAAAAACATAAATAATTACATAAAAAGAATTAACCAACTAACACTAAATACAATAAAATTGTGTTCTACAAAAACATGCAATTTTCTTATGATATAAAAATATACATAAGGATATCATAAAGAAAAGTCTACTAATGAAACTGTTCAATGTTTCTTTTGTGCATTTGGTGTTGGATCTGAGAATAAATAAAGATTCTCTTTATTATTTATTGTGTAATACATTTATGATGATGTATCTAATCTAATCTTATAATACAATCCTCATCCTGTCAGATGTAACACACGGTCCTATAAAACAACCGAACATTTTTAATATGTTAGTAGTAACATGTGAAGTTAATATTGTTACGCAATAAAATGTTGAACTATTACATGTTGCTTATGATGAATCTGTCTTGTTGTTGATGATAATGGCATGGTTAAAGTGGGAGAGAGAGAAAGACAAGATTTTTGGATAAGTCCCACATGGTTTAAGCAAGTTGTGGCTGTTGGTTGGTTTTGTTTTTCATCCACATTGGTCGTGTTTATATAGCTCATTGATACATGGGCTCTTGAATTTAGTTAATGGACTCTTATAGTAATAAAATGGGCTTTGGACTAAAGATAGATAGAAGGAAATTTCAAAATTTTAATTAATTAATTTCTAATAAATAATAAATAATAATTTCTAATAAATAATAAATAAAAGTCATTAAAAAATCACAAGAAAAAAATCACGATAAATTAAATTTATTAAAATAACATGATTAGCATAATTGATTTTTGAGTAATAATTATTAAAATAACATGATTACCATAATTGATTTTTGAGTAATAATAGTTAATATTTTAATTAATTAATTTCTAATAAATTAAAATCATTAAAAAATCACAAGAAAAAAATCACAGATAAATAAAATTTATTAAAATAACATGATTACTATAGTTGATTTTTGAATAATAATAGTTAATTTTGAGTAATAATAGCCAATAATGCTTAATATCCACTAGAGATTAGAGATTATCCGTGCGATGCACGAATATATATTATTAAATTAATTTTTGTAATTGTTATGAAATCAATAAATTTATTGACTCTCAATTGAACCAAACAATTTGACTTAATATAAAAAAATGAAAATAATTGTGCATACAATATATTGATAATTTGAATATAATATAAAATAAAGAGAGTGGTGTATACATTATATTGATAATTTCATAATCTGCCTACGTGTTTCAATATATATTAGTTATTAGTTTCTAATTTAATAATTTAATTAATAGTTTCTAATATATTAATTAATTAAAAATGATAAGTTTAATAGATATTTCTTATTTTTTAAAGTCATTTCTAATATATTAATATGTGTTTAAATATATATTAATTTTTAATTTTTAATTTAATAATTTAATTAATAGTTTTTAATATATTAATTAATTAGAAATGATAAGTTAAATAGATATCTTTTATTTCTTAGCCATTTCTAATATATTAATTAATTAGAAATGATAAAGAGAGATTATAGAATTATTGGGTTTTAATTAATAAGATCATTTCATAATCTACATATATGTTTAAATATATATTAATTATTAGTTTCTAATTTAATAATTTAATTAATAGTTTTCAATATATTAACTAGTATTTTCACTTATGTATATAAATTATGGATATATATTGTACGTGACAATAAAAATTTTAAAATTTTTGTTGATTGAATAGTTGAAATATATAGAAATTAGTGGTGGAGTAATGATCTAGAATAATTAATATTAATTATTAATTAATATATTAAATAATATTTATTAAAAAAAAAAATTAATACTGTTTAGACGGAATTTTACCTAAGTGTATATTCTATTTTAATATAATAAAAATTAATTAAAAATGATAAATTAAATAAATATCTCTTACTTTTTATTTATTTCTAATATATTAATTATAATTAAAAATGATAAGGAAAAATTACGGAGTTATTGTATTAACTTTAATTAATAAGATCATTTCATAATCTGCATAGGTGTTTAAATATATATTAGTTATTAATATTTAATTTAATAATTTAGTTAATAATTTTCAATATATTATTTAATTAAAAATAATAAGTTAAATAGGTATCTCTTATTTTTCAGCTATTTCTAATATATTAATATGTGTTTAAATATATTAATTATTAATTTCTAATTAATAGTTTAATTAATAGTTTTCGATATATTAATTAATTAGAAATGATAAGTTAAATAAATATCTCTTATTTTTTTAACTATTTCTAATATATTAATTAATAAAATAATATTAATAATTATTAAATTAATCATAATTTTAACTCTAAAATTTTTTAAAACACTTAACAACTTTAATTAATAAGATATATTCCAAATTATAACTCACTATGCCATTACATTTGAATAAAAAAAATTTAATCAAATCTTAATAAAATAAATTAAATAAATAATCACAATCAATAATTTTAAAACAATTAAATTGCTGAATCACTTTGTCCCCAAAAAAATGAAGATTCACGTGTCAAAGATAAAATATATGGTGACTCAATATGAATAAAAATTTAATTAAAAAAATAAATTTAGTTGTCCAAAAACCAAAAAATCATTAAACCAAGTCTAAACAAATTGTTATAATAACACGTACTAAAAAAATGCACCGCGCCAGGTAGGGGTCGAACCTACGACTTTCTGCTTAGGAAACAGACGCTCTATCCACTGAGCTACAGGCGCTCATGTTGTAGATGCTTCTGCTTACTCGATTGAATCTCATGAACAAAGGATAAAACAGTTTATTTTGATTTAGTGATATTCCCGCTCAACACTAAACCTTACAACAAATTCGAAAACCCGAAAGACGAAGAAGAAAAAATTGAACGATGTCAAAGGATCAAATTTCCAGCTTCTGCAACGAACTCTCATCATTCTGCAATCATCTTCAATCCTCCACCAATGCACTCAAACAATCCATCGATCGAAGACCTATTCCTCTCGGTATAAACTTTTCACTCTCTCTAATTTCCCTTTCTTTCCGTTAAAACCTAAATCCTTCAATCATCGCAACAGATTCTGCATCTTCCACCTTCGTTCAATCCCTCAATCGCCGTGTATCAACCGCAACCTCCGATCTTGAAATGCTCGAATCAATGTCCAGTACCGTTTCTTTCCAAGAGCTTTTAGGTCACTGCAATGAACTGTATAAGATAAATCAATCCGATATGCATCAACTCGAAGATCATCTTAAAACCTACGGATACGTTCCAGGTTTTTTTAAAAAAAATTCAAATTCTGTTACGTTTTTTTAGTAATTTTCTGTTCAAATTTTGACTGTAATTTACTTCGTATCTCGATTTAGCTTCGGATATTGAGGAGAAAGATGAAGTTTACAATATGAGATCTCCGGTTTCGGATGATAAATTGGATAGTCTCTCTTCTTTTTATGGATCACTCTTTGTTCCTGATTCTGTTGTTGAATCTGGCTTCAAGAATTACGAAGATGATGATGATGATTTGTATCCTTATCTTATGAATTTCTTACACTAAGTTTATCTCGATGTTCCTTATATGTTAAGAATGCAGGCACAGTGTTCCAGCTTTTTAATCAATTTTATATGGAATGACAAAAAAAAAATTGTTGCTGAGATGAAATGCTGAATTTATGTTGATATTGAGTCTTGGATAGTTGCAACTAAAAATCACACATATTTGTTTTTTCAATTCACAATTCGTTTATTATTTTTCGTTTGTGATTTTCTGTTACAGCTCTGGAATAGATTGATTGTTAAGTTTCGTTGAGTGGCTTGATTGATTATTATTGTTCCTGAAAAACTTGTTATGTCATTTAACTCTTTTTAGATTTGATGAATCTATGAGTTTGAAACAGCTTGGGCTATCAGATGCAAGTCTAGCCAGGTTAGCATTGGAAGGTTAGTGGATACAACTTGAGAATTCCATTTTCATGCTTCTATTAGCCTGCAAGTTTCTCTTCTGATCTTGTTATGTTTCATTTTCCCTAGTGATACTTGTTTTTAGGCTATCTGTTAATATCACACGACTTTTCTATAAATTGTTGATTGGTATTTTCAGTGAAGGTCCTACGACCTGTCTTTTTGTTGAGAATTAGACTAGCCTTAACTTCTCAAATTAGTTCTATGTTGCTAATTACCTTTTCTAAGACTATCTTTCTTTATCCTTGTTTGCAGATAATGTACCTTCACCAGAAGTTGAAAAGTAAGTTACAATTTTTGGATATTTGCATTTCTATTGATAATTCCTGCATGATTCTGACTCTCCAAGTTATGAGTCAGCAGAGTACCTGATGCTCCCAGCCCCTCTTTGAAGGTATTAAAGAGCGAATTTGAATGTCTTCCCACCTATATGAAGGATCTAGCATCATGGGAGGTGAGGTTCTTTATGGCTTTCAGTATTATACACGTGTTAGTATTCCAAAGGGATGTTAGTTCTTCATAAGCACAGTGATGAAGGGTTGCTAACTGGGTTTCGCCCAGCGAAGGGCCTGTTTTTTATTCAAGAAAACACATTTATTTTCTATTTTTATCAATAATTGTACAAACATCATGTTATTTTCTATTCTCAAATATTTATGCAACTAACAGAATTTGCGCTGTTTTAACAATCTCATTTAAATATTTAAAAAACCAAGAAAAGTAAACTCGTTTCCTTAAACAAACTAAACAGTCCTGAGGTGAAAACCCCTAACAACAATGGTAGGTTATATAAGAGTATATGTAAAAGGGTTGGCCTATAACAGTTGCATACTATACAACAATCATGCTTAAAGTTTCTGGACATCAGCATCATGTATCATAGGCATTTTTGTTGATTCTTTGGTGAGATGATGATGCTTCTACAAGAATGAGCTTCGCATGCTCATTTAATTATTTTACTCTATGACATGAGATTCTAGATACTCTAAAAAAAATAGTAGTATACTGGACTGATATTTTGTTTGCCTTAACCAGATAGCCTTAATTCCTCAATTTTTCTTTGGTTTCTTTGCGTGATTTGGCTTCCTAGGATCTACTTGTAGCCGTTGATAAGATTAATTCAAGTCTAAGCAAGAAGACCAGCGGATGCAACTTCTTCGGTCAAGATGATATTCCTTCTTTTGATTTAGGTAGTCTTATTGTGTCTCCTTTTGTGCTTCTCATTTATTTCCATTACAAGATCGCTCTTTGGCATAGTTCAATCATCCATATGACCTTCAATTGGGAGATATTTTTTATTCAAACTTATTTGTGACACTGTCTGTTATTTCAGGACCTAAAGCAAGATCTTATTTGCTGCTTTTAGTGCGCATGAATCATATGGTTGTTGAGGTAATTGACGGTCTATTATCGTATAGAATATTGTAGAATATGAGATGCAATGGAAAACATTTGTCATCCTCTGATTTGCCGTTGTGTATGTTTTGTTATATATCATTCTAAGAAGCACATACAAGGCAGATAAGCACAACACAATACTTATATTACTAGGTACATGTTTGAAATGTTCTAACTTCTATCAATTTGGAATTTTAAATTTGTTCCATTTCATTTTTAAGTTCTGTAATTTGTACATTTCAACTTATTCCTTATGCATTTAATGGTGAAACTAGAATAGGTATGGTATTGGCAAAATGACCCTGTGAGAAGAAACTACATTGTGAATCTTATAAAATTTCTACTATGTTCTTAGTTCTCTTTTACTATCAAGTCTACCTTATAAGTTTTTACCAAAAAAAAGTCTACCTTAAAGAGGAAAGAGAGGGTCCAATTTGGGCTCATACTTTATGAAACTTCTATATAACCAAAAGCTAACAAAGGAAATAAGGAATGACAGAAAATATGTTCCCATACAATTGTTTAATAAAACATTCAAGAAATAAAGATTTATGATTGTCAACATGCATATTTAGGGCTTCACATATCCTAGTTCAGCATCCAAATCTCTCTCTTGGAAGTCTTCTGCTTCCAACAAGTCTCTGACAGCATGAGATTTACCTCAAGAGTTGCCATCTTTGCCTTCATCTTCATAATTTCCAACTCGAGAGCTACCTCATTATCCTTAAGTTTTCAAACTCCAGAGCTTTCTCCACATAAACTTTCATTCCAAGGCTGATTGAACATGAAGTTCGAGCCATGTCAAATCAAAACCAAAGTGTTCAAGTTCCTCCCAGAAAATTTGCAGTTCCTTACAAGCTACGTCATTCATATCTTTCATCTTTCTAGTCTTAAGAAAATAAAGAACTCTGCCGAGAGCATTGATTGCCCATTCCATAAACTTGTGACTTCTTTTCTGCTGGCACTAAATAAGTGAAGGGTGTTGAGCACAAATTTTGTCTAACAGTGGAACCAACACGCATTGAAATCCATAGGTTCACCTAGATTTTGGCCATTACTTTCGTCTAGTTAGGCCTTAGAACTTGAGCTTCCATTTGTACTGTTTGACTTCCAGATGTATGGGAAGTAGTTAAGCTAGATTCCTGAGTCACTCTCTCATTTTTTGAGTTACAAAGAGAAACCTCTACACCAATAATACAAGTTTCTTTCGAAAGAAATCCGCTAAGAGGATCATGAATCACACCCGAAGTCACTAAGCATTCATTACCCAATATACTAGCATTTGCATGAATTCTACTTCAACCTCTTGGAAATACATGTATCAAGAGTCAGTTTAACTGCTTCTAATGGATTGTAAATAAAAACTGCTTCTAATGTAATAAAGTATGGTTAACTATTGTTTCAATCATGATTGAACTAGGATAATTTCAATAAACCAGACTTTGTCTGAAACACATTAACCATACTTATTAAACTTATTTTCTTTCTACAATAAGTAGTTGATCTTATAAGTCTCTAGATTAAAATAGTACTATCAGCAAAATACTACTAGTTCTTTTTAATGCACCAAGGGTATATAGCTAATTGTAAGTTTTAAAAATTCACATCTAAAATTCTTTTAAATTAGAAAGACAACGAGAGATATTCCATGCACTTAAAAAACTTCTGATATGATTGATTTGCTGTCGATTTGGTTAAGTAAGAACAGCTTAAATTTCATATGTCTGCTTCATCCTTTAGATATATTAGCAGTTTCCACAGCACTTAAAAAACAATCTCCCTAAATCACATCCAAGTTCAAATCAGATCATTTTCAAAATACAAAACAAAAAATCCAAATCAGATCATTTCATTTTCAGTAGAAAAAATTTATTCATTCAAACGTCATACCATGGATATCCGCCTATAATAAAAGGTCCAGAGCGAACATCAAGAACGGAATGTGAGGATCCAAACTTCCATGTAAATTTCCCAAACTTATTGTTTATGCAATTTTTGATTTATTATTTTCTGCACTTTGGAGCTATTTGTAGTTGCTGTATTTTAATTGAAGTTTGCAGACATTATTTCCAGTATTATTTCTAGCATTAATTCAAGCTTGTTTCCGATTAAAGTCTCCATTTGGAGCACCATTTAATTCAAAGTTTCAGCTTTTATACAATTTACATGTTCCTCTTTTTACTTGCTTATGCTTATTTTCATTATGTATGCAATAAAAATATGCATTATATGTTTTGTTTACCAGAGTAGATTTTTATTGAGTTGAGGATAGTCATACCGACAATACTTTAATAAATTGTACTTTAAATAATTGTAACGAATATTATTTTAAAGTCTAACATCTTTGTTATTATTAAAAGTTTGCTACGAAAGGAGAAACACTTTGATAACGATTTTAATTCGAAAGAGTGAAAATGATATCTGATGAAAAAAACTCATAAATTAATTTTTAAATACAACGGTTATACTTTTCAATTTAATTTACAAAACTTTAATTTTCAAAAACGGATTTTGAACTTATAAGTGGAATATGGTATCGGACACACGAAAATGTACTATTTTTAAATTAATTTTGAGAATATCTTTTTTCACCCTATATTGAAAAGAAAAATCCTACGCAATTCCTAAAATTCCTCTTAGAAATCGGAAATATATTTTCGGTGTGCACCATGCACACCACCACACACAAACAAACCAAACGTGGTTCCTCCCTATTCAAAAGACAAAAACATAACCAAATTTATAGTTTTGGTTAGAATCGATATTGTATTTCTGGTTTCAGCCTACATTTTATTAAATCCTGATGTGTCCCAGAAATGTATTTCCGATTTTCAAAGACATTTTTGTAACTTTGCGTGGTGCGTTAGAAAAGTATAGGGTGAAAAAAGAAAACTTCTTAATTTTCTACTTAAAATAACTTTTTGAGTAAGAATTGATTATTTTTCAAATATAACTTCTAAGCTATAATTCGTATCACACAAGCGGGCAATTACATATTTGTAATCTAGTATCGTACACGCGAAAGCAGACAATGCCTTTAACATAATCTTTTCTTGTGAAAAAATATTTTCTCGTTATACTTATAAAACAAGATTTTGTGAGTATCAATGGCCGATGAGAATTACAATCCGATCTCTCGTTATTAGAATTAAGTTTAAACCGCTTATTTTTCAATTATGCGAACAAATCGAATTGCATCGCCTTAGATAAACAACGTGATAACTAATAACAATACTTGTCAATTAATCTATATGGGATTCAACATCTTTTATACTAAATCGTTAAAGTCGTGCACTTACGACCCTATTGTTTACAGTGATTTCTGGTAAACAACCGCTAGTCCTCCAAACTATCGAATAATCTTACTGACTGTTATTCAATCTCTCTAGTAACTCGCAGGATCGACTAGATTGATCCTAGGATGTATTGGTCATTAGGATAACTCTCATTATAGAACTGGTATTCATGGTTGGTATTTAGAATGTTGTGTAGGTGTTTAACTTACTTCGATTTCTCTATTAAAGATCTAAAGGCGTGATCAAGTAAATGTGCGCGAAACTAAATTGCATGAATAAAGTTCAATTGTAAAGACATGTAAAAACTGCATAAAAGACAAGTAAACGACTTCGAAGCATAAAAACATGTAATGTAAAAGATTCTCTGGAATGTAAAAGATTCGAAATATGAAGAAAGCGTTTAAATGCAAGAAAACAGTAAAATGACTTTAATTGAAAAAGGTGTTCGAATGATAAAAGCTTGAAGATAAAGGCATGAAATGTACAACAGTTTCTGAAATGTAAAGTATTTGAAATGGAAAGAAAGCATTTAAATGTAAGGCATCAGTAAAAAGACTTCGAATGAAAACATTTTAGTGCAAAAGCTTTTGAATAGTATTGACATGAAGATAAAGGAAAATACTGGAAATGATAAAGAGTTTTTTATTAAATCATAAACACTTGGTGTTATCATACGTACATTACTCGTGCATTCGTTTCCCTAGCCATGTGGTATTTTGAATGTTTACTGAGTTTTTTGTACAATAGATATGACACACGAAATCCTAATGCTAAGACTTCTATTTATACTACTTCGACCATAACGGTCTTGCTATAAGATTCTGCCACGTTCAGAACATGCAGAGCAATGCCTCTTTCTAGTTTCCACGCATCTTCGAATGCTCCAGCGCATATATTTCAAATTTCGAACATCCCGCTTGCATTTGAATTTCAAATGTTTTGGCACTTCTTCGCTTTGAACGCATTTCTTGGACACAACCTTGTTAACATTTCGAGACTTCTTTGAATATATTCTCATAACTGTCACTCGAAGCTCCAAGCTTTGATATGCCCATTCGAAGCACTGCTTCTACCATTTCGAAACATGACATCTTGCTTTATTCCAATCGAAACGTCCAATTTGCTTTGCTTCTAATAATATCATCAAAATCTTCAGCCAACAAAATGCCCCTTTAAAATATGTATTTCGATTCCTTTGAGAAATACTTATTTTAAACATATACACAAGATTTTGATGCGACCTTCGAATCATCGTAACATTTATTGCATATGACTCCAGTCACGTCAATCACAACGCTTTTCAGATTCCTTAACCGCCTTGAACCATTTCACAGCATGGTGCAGTTACAAAACAATGATTATCTTTAATCACGCCTATTACCAATATTGACTTTACGCCACCTCCTCATCAAACCAACCCACGACTACCACGTATCACAATATTACTCAGTGGATGCTTAAACTTCCACACTATAAAAACCCATTAACTTAGTCTTTTCTTTTCTTCCCACATTCTGAATCTTTTCTTCCTCTTTTCTCATCGAAACCCTAAACTTCCAACATTCTTCCAACAATGTCTTCTTCAACTTCATCTCAACTGAAAAAGGCTTCCAAAAAGAAAGGAAAGACCACAGGAACCATAATGGAAAGCAAGGTTGGCACCTACCAAGGTCAATCTGTTCTTGTTCCCCAGATGATCTCAAAAGAGAAGGAAATGCTTTATGCATCCCAGAT